CTCTCTCTCTCTCTCTCTCTCTCTCTCTCTCTCTCTCTCTCTCTCTTGCTTGAAAGGCTCAGGTCTTCTTATAGCTGTCAGCAGTTTATACAAGTACTTTCATGAACATCTGTTATACCATGTGACAATCATGTTTTCCCATTTTAAAAAAATAAGGGGTAAGTATTCTTCATCTTGTTCCATCTAAGAAAAAAATTATATCATTAAGATAAAATTAAAGTAGTGAATTCTACCGTGGCAATAAGCTGCAGAAAACAGAGCAACTTCCCTCCTAACTGCATTAGGGAAGACAGCCAGCCTCCTTTCCTCCTTGCAACACTTGGACACATTTGTGGGTGGGACTGGCATCCTGTTGATGAGTTTTAAAGCTTAAGGGAGGAGAGAGTTACTGAGTTCTCTCTGCTCTACAATTTTGCTGGGTCACAGATCTTTAAAGATGGAGTTTAATCTCAAGTGATAATAATAGCAAAGTCAGTGAAAGTAGTGGTTTGACTTCCTTTTATAGTCTAGAGGTGTTAATGATGCAGAAGTTCTTTAAGACACCAGACAGTTGGGACTGGAGAGATGACTCAGCAGTTAAGAGCACTACTGCTCTTGCAGAGGACCCAAGTTCTGTTCCCAGAATGCACACGGTCGCTAACAACCATCTGTAACTCCAGTTCCGGGGGATCTGATGCCCTCTTGTGGCCTCTGCTGACACTGCATGCAAGTGCAATGGTACTTACATATATGCAGGCAAAACACATACATAAAATGAAAATAAAAATTTAAAACAACACCAACAAACTGCCAGACAATGAAGTCAGTACAAAAGTGGGAAAGCTGTCATTTAGGGTTTTGAATTTCCCATGTGCATCATACACATGGTAAAGTGTATTCAGAAAATAGTTTGTTATCTGGAATTTCTTTTTTAATTAGTGTGTGTGTGTGTGTGTGTGTGTGTGTGTGTGTGTGAGAGAGAGAGAGAGAGAGAGAGAGAGAGAGAGAGGACTGTGCGTGCATGCGTGTGCTATAGCATACAAGTAGAAGTTGGAGGACAGCTTTCAGGAGCCAGCCCTCTGCTTCCACCTTGCTGAGGCAGGACCTCTCTCATTCTGCCCTGCTGCATACTGCAAGCTAGCTCTCCTTGGACACATCCAGGCAACCTGCTCCATCTCCCAACTGGTTTAGGAACACTGTTATCTGAGCATTTCTTCTTTTGGTAAAACTCAGATGAGGAGACAGTCTGGGTTCTTATTTCTTCTTGATCCATTCCCTCCACAAAATTATAACCCCTTCTTTCTAAGTAAATGCTGTGTTCTCCTTGCATGAGAGATTAAGCAATGTCTAAGTGGACAGGAAACTTTTCCACCCACTCTGCCATTTATTGATATTAACACCTAAAGCCAGAGGAGAGGGATAATTACCAGGGGAGAGCAAAAACCAAGAACAGAATGCAATACCATACATTCTGCATAATTGGTCTCCTGATATGCAATTTTTATAGCTATCTTAAGGGTCTTCAACGTATCATATCTAAAACAAGTCCTCATTACACATTTAGGATGGATGGTTATAGAAAGATGTAGTGGTTTTTAAACATATAAAATACTACAATATGTTTTTATACAACCAATGAATTTAACTCCTTGTGTTTTATTAGCCACAGTGTTAGAAACTGCAATTAAACAATTTCGGTCACAAGTAGCGAGTAGTGCAGGTCTACCGTGACCCATCTGGCAACACCAGCAAAACCCACTGATAAGACAAAAAGACAATTCTTCCTGCTATAGTAAGAAACACCAGCTACCTTGGAAGAAGAAAGCCCAGGTCAGGGTAAGTTGAGAAATCAAATTTTGACAGTCTTTCCAAGTAAGGTCCTTGATTAAGATTGGGTAAGGATCACTTACCAACAGTCCAGGTGGGTGGGATCAGCAAGGGAAGGATTTGAAAGGAATGATTCATAGCACTGTCTTACATCAACCTCAGTTGATATTTTCAGTCAAAGAACTGATGGATACCTCAAGAAGTTCCGAACAGTCACCATTCGCTTAGGCAGTAGACTCCCTCCAAAGAAGGCCAGACTAGAGAGGAATAGCCCAAAATCCTTGTGTGTGATTGTAGACAGGAAGATGTGCATTCCCCTCAGTATGAAGCTGATGGTAGGGGTACAGGCTTCGAATCTTTGATCTGCTTTGGTAACTTAATCTTGTAAACATGAACCAAAGCGTTTGGTTGTTGTTTACAGCTCTGTATATTTGTGTAGCTTTTTACACAGCTTTTTACATGGCCAACCTTGCTTTGTAGCCATTATTCATTTACTCATTTATTTCTTGTATTTGGAAGGAAAGTGAAAACACCAAACTTTCCTCAAATGACTGTCAAGTTGCCAGTGCCCTGCAATAAACCCAGGAATCCCAGAGCTGGCAGCAAAGGGCACAGGTCTTCTGGATTACTTAAAACAACAACCCAGCATTTGGGGCAATTCTAAAAGGTAACTAAAGGTGCAAATTCTCAGAAGGCAGGGAATTGTTACCTTCTAAAGTGCCACCTCTGTCCTCAGACTGCCTATTTCTTGCCCCTTAAGTTGGAAGCAGGAAAACTATGTGGGATCCTTTTCAGATCCCTCTTAACCCAATTCCTACATATGATCTAAATTCCTTTACATACCTCCACTCCCTGCTCGCTCCCTACCAAGGACACACATTGGTAGTCACGGTTTCCCAGAAGCCCAAGGCTCAGTGAGGGATGCTCAGCTGTGAAGAGGCTGTCGGGGTGAAGCTTCGAGGATGCTTAACATTTGAAAGGAGTGTGAATACTGTATTTACATTTAAATGGAAATGGAAACTTCTTATAGGTTATGTTTCTGAAAGGTGAGTGTGGCAGGGCGCATCTGCCAGGCGTATTGTTTATTCACGCTGTAAATCCTTTGAAATGCGCTAAAATGCTTCCCGCTCATTATAAAGCTCCTGCCACCCCTGGATTACGACTTTGATGTCACCAATCCTGCTTCAAAGGGTTCTTTCTGGGCTATTAATCACAGTTTAGCCTCTGAAGATATCACCAGAGAAAACATTTGGGTATCTTTGTGCTAGACTTGCTAAAAACTTGGAAATCTTAAGCATCTTGCATACGCACATATTGAAGCCTTTCCTTCCACTTACAACTTTTCATTATGTTACAGAATCAAATGACTCTGTATGTAAAAATACAAACAAACGTCTTCACACACTTGTCTTGGTGAAGTGTGGCTGGGTCAGTCAGGAGAGCCCCCTCAGCCCTCAAAGGTGAACAGCTACAGGATTGGGCATGACTGAGAGCTGACCCGTCACCTCTTCCCATCCTTCACTTGTTTTGACTAATTTATCATCACAAAAAGAATGAGAGATTCTGTCTTCTCATGTCCTTTACTTTTGCTCAGAGACCTACATGAATTGTTCACAGCAAATGATAATAGTAACCTTGACTATCCCTCATCAAATGCTTGGGACCAGAAGTCTTTCAGAGTTGGATTTTTTTTTTTGAATATTTGCATTTACATAATGAGATATCTTGGGGATGGGACCCAAATTTAAACATGAAGTTTATTTAGGCTCCACATATAGTTATATAAGTACTTGAAGGTAATTTATTATATGTGTGTGTGTGTTATTAATGTATAAATACATTACACATTATTAAATCCTAACATCACATGTTAGGCAAATGCTTTACCTTTGAGTTATACCCCAGTCCCTATTGTATATAATATTTTTAATAATTTTTGTGCATGTGGCTGGGAATGTAGCTCAGTAGTAGAGCCTGATAGAGCCTGTGCTTAGCATGTCCTAGGCCCTGGGCTCAATCCCTAATACTCAAAGTAATAATAGCAACAACAATAATATAGGTTTGTGGATGAAACAAAGTTCAAGGCAGGAGTAGGTTGGTTCCACTGTGGCATCCTGTCAGCCCTCAAAATTTTTGTACTAGGGATGCTCAGCCTGTGATAATACATCATATTCATTACCAAGACCAAATGTTATGAAGCTTTTCTTTTGAGGGATTTTATAGTTTCAAATCCTATGTTTAAGTCTTCAATATTCAATCATTTGAATTGATTTAAGTTTGTGTGTATGTGTGTGTGTGTGTGTGCATATGTGTATAAGTGTGGGCTCAATTGTGCCAAAACATATATGTGGAGGTCAAAGGACTACTTTGGGGACTGTGTTCTTCCCCTCCTGCCTTGTGGAGGCAGGCTCTCTCTTCTTTCTGCTATGCCTCTGGGGGATTCTCTCGGTCTCACATCTTGAAGTGCTGGAATTACGGAGGCATGCCATCTCATCCAGATTTTTTATGTGGGTTCTGGGGCTCAAACTCAAGTCATCAGGCTTGTAGGGCAGCACTTGCACCTGCTGAGCCATCTTGCCAGCACCGTTTCTGCAACTTCACTGAATTCATTTATTACTTCTGATAGTGATTGTTTATACGGAATCTTTAGGATTTTCCTTAAGATCATGTCATCTGTAAACAGCAGTGAATTTACTTGTTTTTTCTAATCTGAATGATTTCTGTTTCTTTTTCTTGCCCAGTTGTTCTAGCTATGACTTCCATACTGAGTAGAAGTAGTCTGAGCCTCCTTGACCCTGTTCTTATCTTAGGGGAAAAGCTTTCAGTTTTCACCTTTGAAACCTTTGCTAAGTGTTTTATTTACTTATTTATTTTTTTTACTTAATTACTTATGTGTGTGTGAGAGAGGGCATACAAGGCCATGGGACATGTGGGAGGTCAGAGGACACCTTGCAGAAATTGGTTCTTTCTTTCCATTATGTGGGACCCAGGGATCAAACTCAGGTTGTCAGGCTTGTCAGCAAGTACCTTCTACCCACTCAGCCATCTCACCAGCCCTGTTGCTTTTTAAATTTTAAATTCAGGAGGCTAACTTTCATAAAATTCAGAAAACTAAAGCAGCATAAGAGAAAATTTCCTCCTGACTCAATTCCTTACCTATCCCTCCAATTTAAGTTTTTTGTCTTTTTGTTCAGGTAATTTGGCCCAAACAAGAACCAGGATAACAGCATCCTCAAGATCTTTGCCTCCACATTTCAGTGCTGGGAGAGCCAAGGCGAGTAGTAGATGAGCACCAATGATGATGATAGGGGAGGCGGGCGTGTTGGAGATAATGGCAGAGTGGCCAGCACTGGTTCCCTCCACCAGCCCACTGCCTGGGCAGTCTGGTAAAGAGACTGAAGGTATTTAGGAAATCAGGAGTTAGAAAATTTGAATCATGGAAACCTTATAGTCCTGATAATCAGAAAAATGGCATAAGACAGAGAATAGTAACACATGAAAATAGTCTTTCTGGAAGAGATAAAGCACTTTCCTCGAGACTGTCACCAGCCTGCAGAAGAAGGTAAGTGGGAGCAGTGGAATCATCAAGGAGGAAAGAAATCAAACTCTGTCCTGTTGCTCTCACCTCTAAAACATTTATGCGGGGGCCATGTTGAGAGGGCTCAGGAATATCCAACTATAAAATAATATTTATCTGTTCTGCCCTTCCAGTTAATGTTTAGCTAGGATCTCAAGGACTCCCTGATTGCTGTCTGTTATATAGACAGTAATCTCCATTTGTCTGTGGTTTGGCTTTCTGCAGTTTTAGTCACCTGTGGGCAATCATAGTCCAAAAATATTAAATGAAAAACTCATGAATAAACAATGTATAAATTTTAAGGTGTGTAACATTTAATGACATGATGAAATCTCATGCTCTAGGACTCCAGGACCTCCAGGTCCTGCTATGATAGAATCATTTTCTGGTCCAGCAAATCCACATTTGTATACTACCTACCCACAGTCCTTTAGTAGCGAGCTCAGTTGTTAGACCACTTGTCATGGTATCACAGTGTGTGGTTCACGAACCTTTTTTTTAACTTAATGTTGACTCTCAAATGTAAGAATAGTGATGCTGGCAATTTAGATTTGTGAAAAAGAAGCTTCCAGTAAGGGAAAAGATGAAAGGAATACCTTTAGTACAGTAGAATTTCATAATTGTTAATTTTATTATTGGTTATGATTATGATTATTTCTTACTGTACCTAATGTACAAGTTAAATTTTGTCATGCAAATGTATGCATAGGAAAAGGCACAAGAATCTACAGGGTTTGATGGAATCCACAGTTTCAAGCATGTCAGGATATAGCCCCCAAGAATGAGGAAAGACTATGTCCTAACACCAGAAATAATTACCTTGAAGAGGAGAGAGAAATAAGCAGTTCACATCTCTGAATTTTCTTATGTTTACATATTAATATATTTAATAAAAATAAATTGGCCATATACAATACTATTAAGTATTACTCCAGAATTGCCACAAATATATATATTTATACTTAATTTTCTTGAGAATAAAAGTTCTACTTGCACACAGAAAGTACTCAGAAGATGTCAGCTAGCAATAATTTTTATACCTACATTACTGTTATGACCTATTTGAATCCCCAGCTTTTCATCTTGCAAAGGACTATTTACGATGGGTTATATGGGCTCCTAGGAGAGATGTGCCTAAGAGTTTCAGTAGTTTTAAGAACTTCTTGATTTAAGACATAAAATTTTGTTTGTATTCAATGTAGCTAATTCTCATTATTTGTAAAAGTTATGATCAACAAAGTCACTGTAGATAGCACACACTAAACTACTGTTCCTAGGGGAAATACCAGGTTAAATTCCTGCAAGACTATGTGTTTTTGTTTGAAGACACCTAATTATATTCGTGTGTGTGTGTGTGTGTGTGTGTGTGTGTGTGTATAAAAATAAGATATATATCTTATAGGTGATTTGTTCAGTGTTTTTATTAAAATGGTATTTTATTGCAGCATTTGTGTTATTAAACTCAGGGCCAATGGCACTATAATTCATGACTGAGTAAAGGAGGTCAAACACGTCATCTGCATGTGGCTTGTCACCCACTTCTTGTGCTTAGAAACGCTAGACAGCACATCAACATTATACTTGAGAGCCACTTGAAACTGACCAATTACCAACAAACCACATATAAATGCAAAAATCCAGAGGCGTTTAGATAGACTTTGAGAGTAACACTTGTCTATAGGAGAACTGAACGGCAATGGCTAAAGTGATCCTTAACTTCAGCTGGAAAGCTGGGCTTCAGGAGACTCCAATTTTTCACTGCTATGTACAGTCTATGAATGACCAGGAAAGCTCTGGCAATTGACACTGGAGTTACAAATAAATTTTAGCAGGCAGGCAAATTAACAAATATAGAATCTACATATAAGGATGGTCTATATATAATGTGTTTTATTGTAGTTATTGGCTTCCCTAAGATTCTAAAAGCAATCACAACACAAAAAGATTCCCTGTTGGTCTAGAATGCCTTCTTTTCTTGTACTTGATTTCTGAATTTGGAACCTTGCCAGGACCTTGGGTCCTGCTGTCCACATGTAGAATCCAATACAGTATATCTCCCTTCTTGCCCTGTCTACTATTATCCAGTCCTACCCATCTGAAAAACCTGCCCTCCAGTGTGGGGTATATATTTACAAAACATTCATAAATGGCAGTGGCTAGAGATTTGTTTCTTCTTGAAAGGAGATGAGCTGAAAGTTCTGATCAAGGCATCCAAAAAATTATCAAAGACAGGGGTTGGAGAGATGGTTCAGTGGTTAAGAGCACTGGCTGTTCTTCCAGAGGATCCAGATTCAGTTCCCAGCACCCCCATGGAGGCTCACAATTGTCTAACTCCATCCAGTTCTAGGGTGATCTGATGCTCTCTTCTGGCCTCCATGGATACTGCATGTATGTGGTGCACAGACATGCAGGCAAAACATACATACACATAAAATTATATATATATATATATATATATGAAGACAGCAGCAATAAACAGTCAACATAACAATAACAACGACAACAAACACAAGCAGCATGGCGACAATACCAATAATTCCAGTACTGGGGAAATAAGCAGAGGGATTCCACTTCAAGGCCAGCCTAGTCCAGTGTTAGCCTATCTCAAAAAAGAAAGTAACCCCCCCACCAAAAAAAATCATGTAAATAGCCTTCTCTAAGATGATGTAATTGAAGTGACCTTGGATGAAGTTGAACTTTGTAAGTGAAAAAGATTAATGTATGTTCTTCACCCATTATAAAATTCATGGTTGAGAGCCCATATCTAAAGATGCACTAATGAAAGAAAGGAGTACAAGTTTATTATCAATTATTGTGACATGGGAGCCATCAGAAATGAAGAACCAAAGACACAAGGAACTCTGTGGATTTGTATGGTCAGCCAGGCAGAAGTATGCTTAGAGGATAAAATGGTATGATTCAAAGGTAATCAATGGAGCAGCACCTTAGCAAGCCTTGTTTGTCATGCTGTAAGCTAAGACACCCACACACCTTCAGGGGAGAAGGAACAGATCAGAGAATGACCTGCCAGGTGTTATAACCTGTTTCAGAGAAGAAAGACAAAAGGCAGAATGGACCAGCTTCCTGCTGCCACTGCTTGCTCAGAGGCTAGGGGTCACATTTAGGGGTGGTCTGTCCTGCATCCTACCTGCACCAGCACACAGCAGCATCCACAGGATTGTTGGCAAGACTGGGCTTGCTTTTCCACAGGGTGCCACAGAGCCTTATGGGAGGGGTGGTGCCTTAGGGCTCTTTCTTAAGAGATGGATGCGCCTATCCCTATGGCTTGATAGCAGTAAAAATTCTTGACAAAGGGCCTTGTCAGGAAGATGATAAGTCTAAGCACTTCTGAGGTTTTAGGATGTAGATGGTGAGCATTTACGGAGACCAGGAGAAAATCCTTCAGCTTTTCATTTACTGCTGAGATCTGCTAGGTTTATGGGACATTTTAGAGTCCATATCTTTATGCTAGAGTAAATTCAGTTGACAGATGAGGCAAATCTTTGTAATAATACCATGCTGTCAGACTTCAGTTTCATAAGTTATATCAAACCACATAAGATGGCAGCCTATAGTGATAAGTAGGGCTTAGGAAACAGAACGGGGTTCAGACATAGGCATAGCCATACAGGAGTCCCATGTGGGTGCTGGGAACTGAACCTGGGTTCTCTCCAAGAGTAGCAAGTGCTCTTAACCACTGAGCCATCTCCCCAGCCTTGTTGAAGTATTTTTTTTGTTTTTTGTTTTTTTTTCTTCAGTCTTTTTGAGACAGGGTCTCCCTGTAGCCCCAGATGACCAGGAACTCACTATGTAGACCAGGATGACCTTGAACTCACAGAGATCCGCCTGCCTCTGCTTCCCCAGTGCTGGGATTAAAGGTGTGCACCACCATACCCAGCATTGTTGAAGTTTTTTTAAGTAAAAAATACCTCAGTAGTGAATGATTCTTTTTTCTGTGAAATATAACACTAAGCATGTAGGTGTGTGTAACAAAGACTAGGTTCTCACTCACTTCCTAAGACTTACTCTGTGTGTAAGTACAAGTGTTGTAGTCATGTTGAAATACAGATGCTGGATGGTCAGACAGAGGTTCCTACTCCCTGGGGACCCTTCCTGCCCACGGCAGTCTTAGAGCTTTTGGAGCATGAATTAGTGTTTCATTCTGTATTTTTCTATTTTATTGTAGTTGACTGACCTTAGTAATATTGAAAACAATAAATATAAACTGTCTAAACTCTATAGCAGCAGTTGGGTAGTACCCACTACTCAGGAGGCTGAGGTGAGAGAACCACTTGAGCCTATGAGTTACAGTCTGTTATCAGAATATCCAGCCATAAAGCTTGGCTCTGGTTCAAAATGTCATATCCACATTAAGAGAAAAATGAATTTTAGATGGATAGATAGATAGATAGATAGATAGATAGATAGATAGATAGATGATAGACAGACAAGTAGAGAAAACTGTGCCTTACCTATAGCAGCATTACAATTTGTAGAAAAGATGAAACAAAATCCAAAATATGAATATGCATGTGTAAGTGTAGCAGTGTGTCCCAGTTACTCGAACTGGGAGGCAGTCTTTGTCTTGGGAGGTGAATCTTTCTTCTGGTGCCAGGTCTCTTCAGCTAGATCACTTTCAGTTCCAGCATAGTATTTTCTGCAGAGATGATAATTCCTAGGAACTGGTTATAAGACCAGTGTGGGCAGCACAGTGCTACCCCCATCTCAAACAAATGTTTAGAAATTGTGTCTCAGTCATCAAGGTCACTGAACTGTTAAATTCTCAGATGTGCAGGGATCGCTAATGTTCGGAGGGAGAGGAACAGGCCAATCCATCTGCACCTACTATTAGAGACTTGGAGTACTGGTGAGGGGGGTAGTTCTTTGGTTAATTTGAATAAAAAGAGAGCGCTCAGTCACAAATGGAGCATATATAGCACATCCCCTCCCCAAGGCTCAGGGACCATTGAAGGAGGCAGAAAGATCGTAAGAGCCAGAGGAGGACTGGTGTGAAAAGGTGTCTTCAGTATATAACAAGATCACAACGTTCATGAATTCTTAGCAGCTCTTGTTGCCTGCATAAGACTGTACAAGATCAAGTCAGTCAACATTCTAGCATGGAATAGAAGGGGTTCATGAAGTTCCCATTCCTAACTGAGGCACTATGGACAGCTGATGGCTTCTAGGGGAGGGAGAGATGGTTTTCTTTCTTTTTTTTATTTATTATTTTTATTTTATGTGTATGCATGTATTGTGTGCATGTAGGTAAGTGCACTTGTGTCGTGCAATGCCCATGGAGGTCAGAAGAGGGTGTCAATCCCTTGGGACTGGAGTTACGTGTTGGGGACCTCTGTTATGCAAAGTAGAAGCCCCTTCATGTCCGGACAGCTCATGCAGCTCGGGGTTATGTGCTGGGGCTCCTTTCATAGCAGGGTGCCTTCCTGGCATCTTTCCTGACTCTCCTTTAGAAGTGCCCGCCACAAATGCTCACATAAACATGGCCTCTGGCTCTGAAAGATACCATGCTTTTCCTGTGTAATTTTTCAGGTAGTCAGCAGTCTGGCGGCATGGCAGAAACCCATGCCTCACAAAGCATCTAACAGCCAAAGCTTTTACCACTACCCCCATGGTATAAGTATCCTAGTTTTCTCTTAATAGACAGAGAGCTGGGTCGCAGAGCTGCTGAATTACCTGGAGCAGAGACACTTAATAAAGCTGTAACACAGACTAAGCTGAGTCTTCAGTCTTGTGTCTTACTATCGGCGACCCAGCCTCTCCAGGGGGCGCACTCCTCCATTACCGACTTGTGGACATCCTGGCTTTCGCCATTCTCGTACTCTTCCCGCATGGTCCAATGGCCAGTGGACCTCGCTTCCTGAGGAAAGTACACGGGCGGGATTCGGCTGGACAACGCTCCAGCAGCAGAGGAACTTTCAGCACCGGAGCGGCGGACACGCAGGACCCGAAGTGGCTGAAAAGCCCGTGGGACACCCGCCGCAGCTCCCAGAGAGGCGTGGCCAGAGCCAGACCTGCACTATGACTCGCCAGGTGTGGCGGGGACCTCGAGATACCCGTGCACCCCACAACTGGGGCCCAGAGCGACCCCTATAGTTATGGACAGTCGTTAGCTGCCATGTGGGTGCTGGGATTCAAACCTGGGTCTTCTGCAAGAACAACTAGTGTTCTTAACTGCTGAGCCATCTCTCAAGCCCTGGTTTTCTTTTTTTTTGGTATTTTATTTATTATTTTTATTTTATATGTATGAGTGTATTGCCTGAATGTATGTAAGTGCACCCATGTCATGCAGTGCCCGAGTAGATCAGAAGAGGGTGTCAATCCCCTGGAACTGGAGTTATAGAGGGTTGTTAGCTGCCATGTGGGTGCTGGGAATAGAACCTGGGCCCTCTGTAAGAGCAGCCAGTACTCTTAACTGCTGAACCCCAAGACAGTTTTCTTTAATGTGGCTCCTGGTAGGTCATCTGTGCTCCACTGGGTGGCCCCATGTGATGGCCAATCCTGGGTGTCAACTTGACTAGATCTGGGATTAACTGAAATGAGAGAGGTCTTCTTAATTGGATCATCTGACACTGGAAGACACATCCTAAATGTGGGTGTTACCTTCTGATGGCAGCCCATATAAAAGGCCATGGCAGAGGAGACCGCCTGGCTTCTTGCTGCTTGCCTTCTCTCTCGCTGGTAAGTGCAGCTGGCTGCTGTAGACTGAAGACTAGCTGATCTTTTGGAATTCATCAGACCTTCAGTGCCAGATTGGGACTACTGAGACATCCAGCCTTGTGGACTGAGCAACTAAGGATTCTCAGTCTCTCCAGTGTGGTGCAGCCATTGTTGGACTACTCGGACTCTATCTTGTGAGCTAAGCTGATAAATCCTTATACATATATATTCATTCTACCGGTTCTATTTCTTCGGAGAACCCTAATACTCCCCACATCCAGGAGTATATGAACAGCACAAATTGGAGTGGATAGGTTATTACATTTAAAAAAGGGCTGGGGGCAGGGGAGGGGGTCAGTGGGAAAAAGGCTCAAAGCAAGAGGTGCTTCTTCAATTGGAAACTCTGAAGTAATCAGAAGTGGTAGAGAAATTCCTAAAAGTTGTACAGATAGATCAGGTGCAGTGAGGAAAGAGAATGAGAAGAAAGAAGGAAAATCCCAGAATTTACCATTGAGCTGAAGGTCAACCTAGCCAGGATCTTCCCTCCAGATTAGCTTGCCCTACCTCTGACTAGCCCTGAGCTCTGTCTTCCAGTGGGGGTAAGAGAAGGAGAAACTTGTAGTGGAGACCCTCCCAGGGACAGCGGAAAGGGCACAGTACCATCTCTGTAGTAGGGGAGTTTGTTTTCCCTTTCTCTGTGAGAGTGGCCTTCCTTGCCACAAAACCTGACAATTTGAGTTCAATCCCCAGGACCCACAGAGTGGAAGGAGAGAACTGACTTCCATTTCCTCTGACCTCCACCAGTGCGCTGCATCACATGTGTGACCCCCCCCAACACACACGTAAAATAAACGTAATTTTTTGTAACTGTACAGTTTTCCTTTCCTCTTTTCTCATTGAAAAAAAAAATTAGAAAACCATCTAGACAGGCACTTATTCCACCGAGCTGCCTATGGATAAACTGCTAGCAGCCAAAGTACAGGCCACAAAAGACAAAGTTGCATAGCCTGATGTGTCTTCACCCATGTCATGTGCCTGCCAGCTGTACAGGGTGCTTCTCTAGACTTTTAATTAAGACTAGGTCTCAGGGGTTAGAGAGATGACTCAGCTGTTAAGAGAACTGGCTGCTCTTGTAGAGGACCCAGGTTTGATTTCCAGCACTCACATGGCGGCTAACAACTAACCTTAACTCCGGTTCCAGGGTATCTGATGCCTTCTTTTGACCTCTTCAGGCTCTGCACAACATAGGGGCACTTACATACATGTAGGCAAAACACTCAGACACATTTGAAAAAAAGAAAAGAAAAGAAAAGAAAAGAAAGAAAGAAAGAAAGAAAGAAAGAAAGAAAGAAAGAAAGAAAAAGACTAGTTCTCCCTGTGTAGCCAAGGCTGGCCTCAAACTCACCATCCTGCATCAGGTTCCTGAGTGGTAGGTTTACAAATGTGCTTCACTATACTCAGTTGCTTTCCTAGGTTTGACCATTTAGACCCATGCTTTCCCTTTCTTAAATAAACTTGCTTTCTTCAACCTGGTTGATATGTGTCCTTTATGCCTTTGGAATACCCCTCCAGGTGGACCTCATTATTCCCTGGCTCTTTCAGCAATTTAGAAAATTTTCAGTTTCTATGAACAAGGCTGCAGACGTCCTCCCCCCATGGACAGGAGGGGCCTGGGCAACAGTCTCTAGGTGGAGCCCACGTGCTTTACACTCTTGCCACCTGTTCTAAGCAGGTGGAGGCTGCCAGGACTGCACAAGGCTGGTGTTGAAATGCAGTTCAAGCACTTCCCCAACCAAATCAGGGTTCTGTTGTAGAGCTATGATAGGGCAACACAAGGCTGCTTGCAAAGTATTACTCTAATTGTTTTCATCCATAAGTTCCTTCCAGTTAACCCAGGTAGTGGCAGAGATAATTGGTAACAGGTGTATACCATTGGAACCTTCCTGAGTGATTGGTGCCTGAACTCCTGCTTTCAGGAAGTTTGTGGGAACTGTGGAGGCAGGTGCATGTTGAGCAACAGAGCCTGATGGCTTAGAATGTGACTGATGCTGGCCTAATACCCTGTAGTATAACCTGGGCTTGGGGGTCTATTACAGTTTGAATGTAGACTGCCCCTCCTTCATGTGTTTAAACAGTTGGTCCTCAGCTGGTGGTGCTATTTTGGAAGATTGTGGAAACTTCAGAAAGTGGTTCTAGCAGGAGGAAGTGGCTAGAGGGCCAGTCATGAGTGTTATATCCTGGCCTGGTTCCAGCCTGTTTCTTGATACTGGAGATGTGAGCAGGCCATCTCACACTTCCAGCATCAAGGAAGTTCCCACCACCAAGCTTTCTCCACCAAGATGGACTGTATCCCCTTCAAACATGGGTCAAAATAAATCCTCCCCAAAGTAGTGTCTTTCTGATGTTTTATCGCAGTGACAAAAAGTAACAATATAGGGTCCATGTCTTTTTTGTTGTTTTATTTTTGAGACAGAGTCTCCCTGTAGCCCCACTGGCCTGGAACTTGCTGTGTAGACCAGACTGACCTTGAACTCAGAGCTCTACCTGCCTCTGCCTTTTGAGTGCTAGAATTAAAGCCTGTGCCACCATGCCTAGCCCTGGGTCCATGTCTTTATAATTACCTTCACAGGCCTTTGTCCAGTTTCTTTGAATGTTATGCATCCTTTTTTATTATTCTACTAAATGTCATCTCAGTATGTACAGTTGTGTCCTGAATGCTTTGTTCCGAGGTTACTAAGTAAACAGCCCTTAGGTTTTAGAGAATGAACTGTCCATAGCCTCCAACCACTTTCCTCTTCCTCCACTTCCAGGTGGACACCCTGGAGGTGATTCGGCATCCAGAAGAAACCACCAACATGAAGAGACAAACCATGGCTTCTTACTTCCGGGTATGGAGGCTTCTTCTCTCTTCTACCTACTTCAAGACAGATGTGCCAAGCCTTCTCCCTTCTCTAGTGAGGTCCAGACAGATAGAACCATGGAAGGAGGGCAAAGCACAAGTACAAGTTAGGAAAGGAGTGAGGGGGCTGGAGAGATGACTCAGCAGTTAAGAACACTTGCTGTTCTTCCAGAGGATCTGGGTTCGATTAGCACCCACATGGCAGCTAACTCTAGTTCCAGGGTATATGACACTCTCTTCTAGCCTCTGCAGGGCATTGCACTTACACACATGCAGGCAAAACACTCATACACATAAAAATAATAAATAAAATATTAAAAAACAAGCAAAGCTGCAGAGAAAGATAGAACATACACTGCCTTTTCCACTGAATGCACTGTTAGTGTTTGAGCAGCTTCTTGGCTTTAAAGCTACAGGAACCACCTTTCCAGCAAACAACGGATGTCATCTAGGAGATGTGTAAGAACAGCATCTCTAAAGTACTCTGTAAAATACTCATTTCATAGCAAAGATAAATTTGATTCTTTGCCCTTTCTATCCATTTGCACAGAGTTTTTGATCTTCAAATTATTTCAAATCATTATAAAGCATTAGAGTTAGAGACCTCGTAGAGATCATACAGCTAGATTCTGTCATGCTGAGTAGAAACTGATCTCAAGGGCAGAATAAGATGGTAAGATGGAGTTGGATGGGAAGGGCTCTGCAGAGATGGAGGGGGCTGTTAGGAATCTGGGTTGTGGACCTGAGGAACCAGGTAAGCTGAAGGGTGGGACCTAGGAATCAGCACCATAGATGATGGAAGCCTCTATGGAAAGCCATCAACTGCCAAGAAGGAAAGTCACAGAGTCCAACCAAACCAATTGTGTTTCAGAGACAGACTAGAACTGGGCTCATAGTGTGAGCTACAGGGGCCTGAGACTTTTAAGTCTAGGACTTCACCCATGTTGTACTTACTGCTGCAACACCCCAGCAGGTGGCTTTCAGTGTTCATTTCTCTGCTTGGATATTTGTGATTGCCCTTTCTTCTCTATATACCCTGATCCTATCTCCTTTATCAGTGGTATCCTTGTCCTCCTAGTAACCCTTGGTGCATGCATGTCCATGTGCGTGTGTGTGTGTGTGTGTGTGTGTGTGTGTGTGTGTGTTTGTGAAGTGTTTCCCCATAGGATTTGGAGGCTGCTTGACTCTGTGATATCAGTCTCAAGATTCTCAGTGGCCCATCTTACACCTCTGGCTTAGTGTTTCAGAAATATGCTCAACATCTAGTTTGTTATCCTCAAAATACAGGTCCCCAAATGCTAAAGCAGAAAAACAAGATCCCTTGGTAAGCAAAGAGCAATTTTGATCAGTAGAGGAGTGATTATGAAGAGCTTGAACCTTAATTCCTGTGTGGTTTGTAAATGCCTCTGGGAGCTCCAACAAAGGACACTTCCTGAGGGACACCTCTGCCACATAAGCACCCCTCTGGTTTTTCCATGCCCTTTCCTCGTCTCTCTACAAGGTATATATATGCTATTGATAATTGATCTTAGTGGCTAGAGAGATGGTTCAGCAATTAAGAGCACTAGCTCCTCTTCCAGAGGGCCCAGGTTTGGTTCCCAGCACCCACATGGTGGCTAACAACTGTCTGTAACTCCAGTTCCAGGAATCTGACGCCCTCTTCTGACCTCCGAGGGCATTGCATGACACTGGTGCACTTATACACATGCAGGCAATACACTCATACACATAAAATAAAAATAAGAAATAAAGTATTTTTTAAAAGTTGATCTTCATCATAGTCCTTTCCTCTAACAATTTCCTTCTCTTCCTCCTCTGCCTCTTCCTCCTCTTCCTTCTCTTCCTTCTCTTCCTCCTTCTCCTCCCTCTTACCAGTGGTATCAGTAGGACTTGCAGTGACCTTCTGGTGGTTTTCAGGTGAATAAAACCATTAACATTTCCCATGGGGAAATACTAGATTTTAGATTACAGTATATACATCATCATTTTGGACAGCAAAGGGCCTTCCAGGTTTACCTAGAACGTGTTCTTAATGAAGTTTCTGTCATGTGGAGACATTGCTTTGCACTAGGAAATGTTTAAATAATGCTTTTCAAGTTCAGGCAACTATATAGAGAACTTATGTTGTCATCTCCTGTTGCTGATTTCACATTCTGTCTCAAAGATCTCGAAGTCCCTCACAAGCCTCAAACTGCTCTGAAGGTTGTAGAAGGCCCGTGTGGGTGTAACTTCATTTCTCATTACATGTTCCTTTTTCTCCTTGTTAGTATTCTCTGATGGATCTGCTCTCCAAAATGGTGGTTGGACAGCCCCACTTCGTGCGTTGCATTAAACCCAATGATGACCGCAAGGCCCTACAGTTCTCCCAAGAGAGGGTTCTGGCCCAGCTCCGCTCCACAGGGATCCTGGAGACCGTCAGCATCCGCAGACAGGGCTACTCCCACCGCATCCTCTTTGAAGAGTTTGTGAAAAGGTCAGACAGCATCTTGGATATGCATTTTTTCCATATAGCTGCCTCCCGACTGTCCCTCTCCCCTGGGAGAGTGATCCTCCTCCCAGGACCTGTCTTAGGACCAATTGTCATTTACTTGCTTAGTGTTGTATTTGTCTTGTGCTCCATCTATGCTACAGGGATCCCAAGGACAAAACAAACTTATTTCTAATCACATTTTTTAGAAGTTCATAAATATTTTATATTACAAATTCTCGCACCTTAAATTCTCTGATGATTTCACTGTGATAACAGAAGAACCCATTCACAGAGTCTGTCTTGGTATACTATGACAATGATAAGCAAGACTTTCCCAGCACCTAAGATGCTGTAAGAGTGCAGGGTGTTTTAGGCACTCTCTTTAGATGTGCAGTGTCATTTATCTATAGAACAACCCTATAACCTAGGCTCTATTATTATCTCTACTTGAAAGATGAGGAAATTGGGACACACAAGTTATGTGACTTTCCTAAGATCAGGTAGAGCCAGGATTTGAACCCAGCCTCCACATTTTAATCTCCTCAGTTCACCACATTCAGTCAATGGTTATTGAGATACACAAATTTCATGGGGCTTTCCAAACTCAGCAGCTGCCTTATCTACCGACAATATGCTGCTGTTTTGCGCACAGCTGCCTCAAGTGCACTTTGGGTCTCCACTAGGACTTCCACTCAACTTTCTATGAAAAAATAATAAATTGCACTAACAAAAAGATAAACTCTGGAAAGAAGCATAACTGTCAAAGGATGCCTAGAGAGAAAATGATAAACTCCAAGATAACCTGCCTCACCCTAACCAGCCGCCCCAGATCGTCCTTTTGAACGGGGGGGGGGGTGGGGGGGAAGAGGGGCCCCTAGAGGGTTCTTAGTCTCATTCATAAAAGAATTTAAGAATGGACCCAAACAGAAGCTTTTACAATTTTATTAAAATCTTAAAAATCTTCAGGGCACAAGAGCTGATAATTTTGGCAGCTGCCTTGAGGAGGAGAATGGTGGGGAGAAGGAAAGAAAGCCATGGAGCCATGCAGGGTTAGAGGCTGCATGGAGGTCAGACGCGTGGCTGACTGGCAGCCACATGGCCGGGAGACGGAAGCTTTAGAGAAAAAATAAAGAAGTACAAGATGCGAGGGGCAGCCTAAAGCCTTAAAGAAGGAATGCTTTGTAAAAAAACAATGAAGATGAGGAAAAATTATGCTTTTCCGAAGAATTCAGAAAAGCAGAAAGCCTTACAGACTGTATGCATGACTGTGGCTGGCCCAGAAGTTCTGCTCTAGGAGGCTGGATTCCAGCAGGAAAAATTTGCTATCTCATTAACACAGTAGGTATTCTGCTCATCTATTTAGCATGACTTAAGGTGAACCTGCCTTCCTAGGGATGGTCCTATGACCAGATGATTGACCAGTGAGACTGGAAAGGTGACTCTTCCACCAGATAAATTTTAGACCATAGACCAGTTAAACTTATGGGGCCTTTTGTTACTCTAAGACTTTTACTTCCATTCTGAAATTCATGCTCAAGGTTATTTTTCCAACTTCTCAGAGAAGGATGGGTCCTAAATATGGTAGCTGTCTTCATCAAATCTTCCAAATTCTGCTACGTTCCTTGGAAATGTAAAGGGGAAAAAATTCTTGCAATGAGAACTTTTAAATTTGAAATAAGAATGAAATGACTTTTTAAAATGTATCTTTAAGACTTTTTTTCTTTTCATCTTAAATTTGGAGGTATAACAAGGAATAAAAAGATTATTTTAGCTCATGAATATATTTTTAGCCACAAAGTGTTGAATACATCAAATTTTTAAGAAAACAGGTCAAATGCTCAACAGATTGGTACTTCTTTGTAATGAGAAAACCATTAGGAAGAATGAACAGGAATTTCAAAATGTCAGGAAATCTGAGGGTATCAAAGATTTCTGAGCCTGAAAGTTAATTGGTATTTTGATCTTTTTGAGCAATTTAACAACAAAATGGACAAGCTAGCAGTTTCCCTCTGGATGTTATTCGACAAATAGTTGCTTTCTTATCTTCCTGCTCAGGATACTGCTTTGTCAGCTCTTAGCAGGAAACAGGCAGACAAAACAATCAAAGGCAGGGAACAGGCATGCCAGGTTTATGCAGTGGAGGTGAATGAAGGGGAAAGGCCTGAGTAATAGTGCTCTTTACCTCTTCCTGTTTTCTGGCACTCAAGTCTGAAACTGAGGTAGTGTTCCTCTGATTATGCTGTCTCCTTCCAGAAAGGGGACCTTCTTCCCTAATCCCCACACTACTCAAATCACGAGACTCAGCCAAACCTAAGCAAAACGCTTCCTTGCTGTATCGTATTTGAATTTTCTGGCAGAGTGACTTGGAAGTGCCTTATCTTGTCCTCCAGTCAAGGGCCTTTGAGGAAAAGGTGCCCTTGACACCAACTCATCAATGGGGCCAAGTGAGTTAGAAGTCTTCATCTGTTCTCAGTTAGGTGCCAAGAGGCTACTTGGCAGTGCTAGGCAGGTCGTGAGAGTTATTGGAAGCTAGACTGTTGAGGGTATCACAGAGCACCCAGGTGCATCTTTATTTCCAGATCAGTGTGCCCTGAAGGAGGTTTCCTCAGAAAGTCTACCCTGGTGTACACATAGGCCTGCACGTGTTGAGTGTGTGCTATCAAATGTTTAAAGGAACGGACCAATGCTCAATGGTTTGTTTACTATAGAAAAAATTTGCAATTTAGTAAAGAGAACTGAATTCTAGTCTCCTTTTGGACATAATATTTGGCAAGTAAACCAACATAGCTGTAAAAGATATTTTTCATCTGCCTGGCAAGAAGGCAGATGTATGGAACTGTGCAATGAAAACCACAGAACAGGATCACTCCGTGAATGAGGAAAATGGTTTATTAACAAAGTGTTGGGCTACCTCTCAATAATAGAGAAATAGCAACTAACAGAAGAAGTGGGATAGATTTTATAGGAAGTTATAGACTTGGGTGACTTCCCATGAGGATCTTGCCTGGTCTGGGGCAGGGGGGCAAGGGGATGGGGTGACCCCATTGAATTGGAGGATGAGGAAACTCTAATTTTCCTGATAAGCGAGTTTTATGAAATCTCGTCTCTGCTGGGGACATTTGCAAAACCCAGTTTCTGTAAGGGGGCTTTGGAGAGACTGGTTCCTGAGGAATGCTAAGTTTTGATTTTCCTCTTCCTTGTTGTGGAGCCTGTCGACCTGATATTCTGGGAGGCTGGGCAGCACTGCCACCATTTTGAGGACCTAACGGCAGGCACGCACAGAACCCATACCCTGAAGATGTTCAGTGACTTCATGCAGGCTTGCACCTACTCAAGTTCTCTGGATAGGAGACTTGTACCCAGTGGCTGTTAAATCAATGCATAAGGAAACCCTTTCTTTCCTCCATCAGCATCTTCCTTTCTTTCTTCTCAGGATGGTGTGGGGAGCCACAGTACTTTAGCATCTCCTTTATCTCATTCTTCTATTCCTCCACTTTCTCTTTTCCAGAAACTTGGAGTCACTTTTGATTTCTCACTTCCTTTAAACAGTACTATCAGTAGCTTCTCTAGTTTTGCCTGGTAAAGTTTCTCTGCAAGTGGCTTGAATAGATGTTTCTTTAAAGGAGACATACAAATGACCAATAAACACACGAAAAGATGCTCAATATGTGGTCATTCAGCTGCCCCAGTTACCATTTACTGTCAACACTTTTCTTTCTCATTCGTCTTTGCATTTTTGTAGAACAGACTTGTTCACAACTTCTACAGTTTCTTTTGGATTCTGAATTCTATTTCATTTCTAGGCTCATTTGAATTCTTCTGCCCACCTTTCTATGACCTCTTTTTCTTCATCTGTGTTTTCTTATAGGATTTCTTGACTGTCCCTTCAGTCCCTGTACTTTAGAAGTACATGACAGGTACATGGAGCTGGTTTGTTGAACTGTAACTCACATTGTAATGAACAGCACAGAATCATAAAGCATACAATTTCAGATTTTCATATAGCTCTTTACTAATAGCCTTAAACCCTTAAGTAAATTGATTTTTAGATCTTTTGGGATTTATTTATTTATTTTGGTCTTTTTAAGACAGGGTCTCCCTGTAGCCCCAGCTGTCCTGGAACTCACTATGTAGACAAGGCTGGCCTTAAACTCACAGAAATCCACCTGCCTCTGCCTCCCAAGTGCTGGGATTAAAGGTGTGTGCCACCACACCCAGCTGGGATTTATTTATTTTTATTTTATGTGTATGAGTGTTTTCCCTGCATGTATGTAAGTGCACTCATGCATGCAATACCCACAGAGGCCAGAAGAGGGTGTCAAATCCCCTGGAACTGGAGCTATGGACAATTGTTAACTGTCATGTGGGTGTTGGGAACTGAACCTGAGTCCTTTGCAAGAGCAGCCAGTGTTCTTAACTACTGAGCCATCTCTCTAGCCCCAAGTAAATTGATTTTAAAAGGTTCTTTTTAAAAAAATTTATTTAATAACCACATAATTAGTAGAAGCATTTCATTATAACAGCATTGACATAGTCAATAACAGTTTCTAGAGCAAAGATGCATCTCTTTCAAAATTGTCTGTAATTTTTAGGTTCACAGTGTTGAATTAATAAAGCTATACATTATTGTACTCAGTATAAACCCTATAAGACATATTTTTGAATGAAGTTTTAACCTTTAAAAAAGATCTCCATTTCATTTTAGAATATACTGTTTCATACAGAAAAAATAATTTTTAATGTAAATAACACTTAGATGTTTGAACATGCATCTCTAATCTCTGTATATCTGATTATACTAGTGTCAGTTGATTACTTCCTAGGATCCTTGGTACCAGAGCATAGATATAAAGTCATCAGGTAGATTTCAGTAATCTTCATTATCTACTAATGGTAATGTTCATATCTACTAATTAACATGAAGCAAATTTTTATACTTCTTCCTCAAATATAACTCACTTTTTTATTTATTGATTTTTTTGTGCATATTTCATACAGATCTT